CCCCCCCCCCCCCCCCCAAGCTTGAACACAGGCTGAGAATTGTGCATATTGTGTAATTCCTCTCTAAGGAATTACATGTGCATGTGTCCTGTGCACATAATGGGAAATGGAGTTGGGCTCCTCTGGTGCTACCCTCTCTTTCTAGAGCAGGTCTCTTCAGATTAGTACAACCTCACACAGTTTTCCAGCATTAACAGCAAATAGTAATATTATTGGGCTTTGCTGATTTTTGTACTTTCCTTTGAAGAAGGAAGAGCTCTCAGCCTAATCAAATAATTTGGTACTCAATGACTCCAATAACTTTTTTCCTGTGCAGTGAATGAGGTGTGGAGCACCATGGGGAGCTAGACTGATGAGCCCTTCTATCATTCAAATAAATAATCACCATCTTCATCTGAGTTTGAGGACAGAATTTAGTGACTCACACAGGAAAGGTAGATGATGTGTGGATGCACAAGAGTCTGGTCCTCCAGAAGTTTTTGGGCAGATAAAAGTACCTAAAGGTATTCTTCAGGGATAGTTGGAAGTTTGTGGCCCACAATGGCCAGGTGAAGCATGCATTGGTTCAGGTCGCTGGTTCAGAAGAAGTTGAAATATAATTATTTTTCCTCAGAAGAAGCAGATGGCCTGGAAGAGGGAAAATATGTGGCAGCTGAGTGATTCACTGGAGGAAAGCTCAGTTTGGAACCATAGTGGGAGAGAGACAGGATTCCTTCAGTTTGGATGTGCTCTGCAGGGTGTACAGTTGGGGTCTATATATATGATGATTTTGTACTTGTGTACATTTTTATCTCACACTTTAAGTACCCAGGTCAGAAAGTCTATGCATCCTGCTTGCATTTCAGGTTTCTGGTATGCTAGCATTTCTTTTCAGATTTATGATCTGAATAAAAAAGTGTTCTGAAAAAGTCCTATACGTTAAGAAGTTTAGTGCTGAAACTCTGTTATATGTGAGTTGCTAATTTGATTTTGGCACTGCAAGCTTGCAATGACCAGGTTAGACAGGTATACTGGAATTGGTGTTCTGTAGCACACAGTGCCAGCTTCCTCCCTAGTGAAGACAATGTTTGCGAAGTGCTCTAACTGTAATGGTACTCACAGACTTGTAAAGGAAACAAAACCTAAATTATAGTGATTTTTTTTTTCCCCATTCTCACTTGCTAATGTGTTGGAATAAGGTTCTTAATTAAGGCACTGAACCTACCATATGTGTTAGGTTTCTTAAAACTTCAGTTTTGCTAATGAGTAGAAAGTAAATAAGCTTCTAAAAAGGCAGATAAGATTCTTCTCTGTGCTATTGCATTCCTACAATGAGATTCAGTGTATTGATAAATAAAATGAAATGGTTGTCTAAAATGAACAGAAATTATTTTAATATCAGATGTGAGCTAGAGTAAAAATAAATATGCAAGCTTGCAGTTCTAATTTTATCATTACATGCAAATCACACTCATAAGCCCAGGGAAATGTAAAACTGGATATTTGTATTTTTATGTTATTTAAATATTTCATTCCCTTAAAACAATTGCTTTGACACAAAATAGATGAAAAATCTATTGAAATATTCAGCTATAAAATGAGCTTGCTTTTTTGAGAAGTTTGCTTACTGCTAGCATTAATTATAATATAGAAAGCAAGCTCTGTATGTAAATTGACATAGCTTTTTTTTTTTTTTTTTTTCTCAAGCATACAGCTGAGATGCATTTGAGGGATATTTGCACTGTACAACACTTTTTTGGAACTCTTTTCAAGAAATCACAACTCAATTAAATAATGCCTTTATAACAGATGTGATACTGTTTGTACAGTGTTTCCAGTTACTATTCCAATGAAGCGTTGCACTGATTAAGAAAATCATGTCTGTTTATAATGTCATTGTCTTAGCAAAATCGTGAAAGTGCTTTCCACCTCAGCAACATGGGGAAGATATACTTTAGCTTATAGTACTGTTTTCGTAGTCAGATCAACTGAATAAGCTTTCTACAAATTGACACTAATGTGCAAAGGAAATTTGAGATTCTCTCGGGTTCATTAGAGAACTAAAGAATATTAATTTCTTTATTCAATCATATAAATTATATTCTGGGCTGGGGCTCTTCCAGTACTTTTGTGCATCAGTGGGGAGGGGAATGTTTCCTGAATCCACATTGTAATCCCTTTACAGATTAATGTCTATTTTAATTAGAGTTATGTACTGTTTAAAAGTATGTAAGTACATACAGCTTGAATATATTGATTCTGTGGTTTAGCCAGTTCAAGATGAAAGAGATATATTATAGGGGAGCAGGTATGTTTTCAGAAGGACAACAGATACTGCAGAACAGTTTTGCTAATTTAGTGGGTACTAACTTTTGTAATCAGCAGTCTCATTAAGAAGACAGATGATTTGCTCATTGAAGCAGGTTAGTGGTTAGGCTGAAGCTGTTAAAAGGCTTACAAAAGATGATTAACGATTCAGAGCCTCCGGTTGTGTAGATTGCTCACAACCAAGGAATTTCTTGAGGAAATTCCAGCCATGACACATCAAGGTTATTTTAGGGTGCACCTACCTGTCTAGCTGGACACCTGCAAGGAGACAAGAGCGAATGTCAGGACGTGTCCAGAGCTGCAGTTTTTGTTAGCTTGACAAAGCTGTGGCTTTGCACCGAGGCACTGTTGAATTGATGGTCAGTAATCAGGACTCCAATGGAAAAACATTCTTTAAAACTATGACATCGAATGATGTCTGAATGCAGTCAGTGACTGAAATTTGTGCTTTACTTTTTAAAAGAGGTGTCGCTGCCTTTGTTAGATCTGCTCTGGCTGGGATAGATCTATTGGTAGCTTCAGTGCAGTTTTACTGCTTTTGGCTTTTGAAGGCTATTCTGCATCTCCTGCAGAACTGTGGATCAAGTGGACATAACAACTAAAGCACAGTAAAAGTTTTTGCAGAAATTCTCATTTCTTGAATAGCTATGAGGTGGTATAAATGTGTGGAGTCACTGAAACAGAATGGAGCACAGGAGCATCAGCACAGGAGCTGGCCATTTCCCTTCATACCTCTTAGATCCGCCAGCATTAGCAGGGAGAGCTGGACCAAGGTAAGATGATAGTTTGTAATTTTGACTTAGTCTTCAACTACAAGGCAAGAAAAAAAATTAGTCTATCAATAAAGTTGTCAGTTTGTAGCTCTGTGTTGAGTAAGAGTAAGTAATTAAGAGGTAGGTACATGATTACTGTGGAGGTAACCTGAAGTTCAAGTCTCTGGTCTGAATCAGGAGGAACAGAGACTTGAATCTAGTTCTGTCATGTTCTGAAGAGAGTGTCCTATTCCGTTCATCTGCTGGAATGAATTCATAGCCCCAGGTGATCAGCTGTTCTTCATAAGACAGCCTCTTTATCTTCTGAGAAGTAAAGACTTCTGCAGGTCCTAGGATATTTTTTTCAGTGCAGAACAGCCACAGGCATCTTCTTGAAACAGAAGAAGTTTGCCAGAGATGAGGATCCTCCTGCTCAGATGTAGGACCGGGATCATTTGGTTGCTAGGAAAGGCTTAATTTCAGTCTCTTGCAACATTTTTGTTAAAATAGTATTTTTATTTACTGTATAAGAGGACTTACTATTCCTTTTGTTGAACCTTTAACGTGGCCAGAGTTTTGGAGGAGAATACCCTCTTGCCAGGACTGCAAAATAGCAGTGAGGTGATGTGGTCCTTTCTCCTGTAAAACATAAAGCATTTGACAGGAGTCATGCTTGTGCTCACATGATGTGTTGTGAGCACAGTATAGGAATATGTTGAATGGAATGCTCACTCTTTTCCTTTGAGTCAAGTTACATATTCCCATAATACCTTCTTTCCTCCAGATGCTCAGCCTAGTGTTTAAAAGAAAAGAAAGCCTAATTTGCTTCTCTTTGATTTATTCTGTAAAATTAAACTACTTTGTATAGAAGGAAACTCCACATACACGTTTTGCATGCTGGGCTTTCTTTGGTGTGGAATGGTGACTCATTCTTGTATGGGACAATACCTTAGCTACTGGGCTGAAAGGGGTAAAAAAGGATGTGTGGTATTTAGCAAACTAAAACCTGGGAACCAGAATAGTGAATTTTTATTTTGACTCCATGAGTTATTTAATATGTAACCTTCTTCAAATCATGTCACTTCTCTGCACCTTTGTTTACTCAGATATAAAATGGGATCTTAAACATGTAGGACCTTGAAGGGGTGCTATAAAACCTGCAGTGGTTAATGAATGTTGATGGATTGCTCTGAGATCCTTGAGAGGTGGTTTGGGGATGCCAGCAAGCTGGAACTGGGTTGGACTTTGAACTGCTGAGGGCCAGGGGATATTTTTTAAAAACTTGAGCATAGCTTTGTCAAGGCCAAGAGGTTGCAGTCACTTCACAGTCTCTGGCACCTCAGGCATTATTTCTGCAGCTGTGCTGTCAGCAGCATCCCTGCCCCAACTGCTTGTTCCCATCCCTGTGCGGGTATTCCCTATGCCGTGCTGCTTTGTGAAGACACACAGGGAATAGTCCCGACAAAAAAGAAACTGAATACACCTTTCTTGTGGAGTTGCTTTCCGATCGGTTCGGTTTCCTTTGTGGTATGGGGATATGCGTATGGGGTGGTAACGAGACGTGGTGTCAGGGATGACCCTTGCTGGCGTTTCTGCAGCTGACAGTGAAACACACAGCCTTCCTCCTTTATTCCCCAAAGCCTTGTGATTTACCAAATCCAGAAACTGAACTGGATCAAATTAAACATCCTTGCATTTTCTTGGCTGGCATAATTTTAATCTAGATCCTGTGTTTCACCATGTGGCTTCATGAAGGTGTGCATGCACAAAGAAGGGGGTGAATGACGAGTAGGGGTCAGCATCTGGGAGCAGGGAGAGGACACGAGTGCTGTTTTTTGTGAGCAGTGGGACCACACAGTTCCTGGTAGCACTAACACTGAAAACATGGTTCCATGGTTCTGCCTGCTGTTCTGTGTATCGGTGTGGAAAAGCAAAGAAACTCTCATAAAGCTTTCTTCTGCAGGTTGTCACTGTCCTCTGCTTCTGTGTTTCTCTCCAGATTCTGAACAACTTACCTGCTTACGTTTCTAGACTGTCCAAAGGCTTACATAAAATTAATCTATCTTTTTCTCCCTCTAGAAAACTAGAAATTACCAGTTTATGAATTCAAAGCACCTGCTCCAGTGTTTTCCAGTTTTAAATTTACTGTTCTGTCCCTTTCTTTGTATGATCAATACATTTGATGATGTTCTGAATGTTCTTTTCTCCATTTTTCTGATTGATGACATTGATAAACTCACAGTTATGCTGATAATACAGTGGATGTATCCTGCCATCTACTTCTACACTTGTCCTGGGAATGCTGAATAACAAAAGTGCCTGGCTCTCTCAGTTAAGTTAGGGAATTTGTTATCTAAATTCAGGAAGATTAAAAGGAAAAGTTGATAATGCTTTGAATAGGTACCATGCAAACTTAAGTCAGAAATTGCAAGCAGTTTCTGAAATTCATGAGAAGTAATTTTGCCTTTCACCTTTCAGTGGTGCAGATCTTCTCATTCATTCATTCATTATATTACTACACTTTTCTCTTGGAATTGAAATCATTCAAGGATACCTGGCTTTGGCTCACAGTGTGGACCTGGCTGAGAAGAAACAGCCAAGATAACTGAAAAACTGTTGATAAACCAGAAGCTGATGGCTGTCCACCACATCATCCTGTTTGGAAGCTGAGATTCGGTAGCCTGCCCAGAGATCAGAGTCATGTAAAAAGGATTCAGTGCTTCACATGTGTCTTTTTTTTTTTCTTTCCCCTATCCTCCCAAATAAGTTTTGGAAAGATCTTCAGTTTCGCTGAAGTGGAGATTTGCGCCAGTAATGTAGAAGATACATGGCTAGTGTCGTTGAACAGGTGAACACGTTTCTACGTATCAATCTTTGCTCCTGTTTGGAGTAGAAACTCTACCAGAGCCAATTCTTTAGTAAGATCTTCACTCTATGCTAAGGTCAGTGTGGTTCCAGTGGCAGGATGCTCTGGAGTCAGTAAGGCCTGCTTTGATTTCAGGTGCTGCTGTGCTGTCACCACAACCCTCCCCAACTGGCAAAGCAACCTAGCTTTCTTCAGACATCTGACAGCCTGTGTCAGGACCTCACTGAAATAAATGTCAGCAGCATTTGTCGACATTTGTTCCTGCAGACAGGCTCTGGAGACCACCTGGAGCATGCTGGTGTAAAGACTCAGCTCTTCCCTTTCCTTCAGCTGCCGCCCCTGTACCAGAGTCAGGCTATTTGCACTGAGGGCTTTTTGGAAAAGGGGCACCTGTAAAGTGTCTGTCTCTACCTACATTGCTGAAGCTTCTTCCACAGCAAGAAAGGAAGGACAACTTGACGTTGTATTTTTTTGCAGGCTTCTCTTTTTACAGGATTCATTTATTTAATCATGAGACATCCCTTAAATGTACAAGTGTTGTCCTTTTGCTATGGCCATTCTGTCACTCACTGTGCCTGCATTATAAAGCTTAATTCAGCTCCTGCTGATGTTAAGAGGTATTTTTTGGTGAGAACAGGGTATAGCCCTTAGGGTCTAATGCTTTCGTTGTGCTATAGCCTTGGAAGGTGGTGGCATTTTGCAAGATGTGCTTGACACACAGTCACCTGTGGAGAATGCTGATTTGGTAGCAGTTAATACACCACTTGCATTCATTTTTTCTGGTTGTATGTGACAGCTCAAGCAGCAAAGGAATGAAAACCCAGGCGATTAGTGATATTTTTGCTGACTGTCTTCCCCTAAATCAAAGCAGGTATTCCCCTCTCCTTCCTCGATTAGTGTTCCTACCACTGTGTGCACCGCCTCCTATATTCTAATTCACAGCACGTGAAAATGAGGTCTCAAGTGGATATGCATAGATTTCATTTTAACTACCCAGTGAAAAGTTTTAATTAGATGTTTCACATGGAAACATGAAACAGGGTTTGAAATTAGCAATGACCTTGTGGCCTTCCTTGAATATATTTTCTGATACGATGTGGCAGGCAGTGCCCAGCTTTTTTTGTCACTGGCTGGAACGTGCACATCCGAGCGGGGAATGCTCTGACGTGCGGGAGCGGCAGCAGTTGCTGGGTGCAGGAAAAAATACTTTAGCCTCATTTGGTGACCTGGAAAATAATGGAATGACCTAACTCAGGAAGAGCATGAATAGCAGCTGGTATTTCCTTTAACAGCTTTCTGGAGATCAAACCTTAGATAGATTTCCAAGCTCTGAACTCGGGTAAGCCCTGAGCAGGGGGTGATGCTGAACTACACAGCCCTGTTTGATCAAGGGAAAGGCATAACAGCTCACATCTCTTGTTGGCTGTGCTGTGCATCAGCTCTGTCCCCTGCCAGCCTGCCTGACACTGTTGTCTCACCTGGAGTGACTGGACTGAGAGCAACATCCCTTAATTTGTCTCCATTTTCTCTGGGAGGTGAGGGGAGCAGACCTGTGTGTGCTCTATCAGGAGCAGCGTTTCTACTTAGATCAGTCCTGGGCAGAACAAAGGAGAACCTGCTCTTTTGGTAGAGTGGGAGACAAACACAGAATGAGTATATGCATCACCTTTTTTGTTTGGTTTCAGTATCACAGTATCTCCTCCCTTTTTAGAGGCACTAATATTTATCACATGAATACAGTATCAGTTTAGGCCTTTTTGGCAGATACTTTTGATCTTTCATGTAGGAACCTTTGAAACATGTATGTGGATACAACTACAGCAGTTACATTGAATTAGTGTTTGCAAAATATGCTGTTTGGCCGCATTTAGCAGGTTAATAAAGAGAACTGATGTGGTCAAGTCAGGACAAGAAGACACTAATCAGAGCTCGCTGGAGTGAAGAGGCCAGAATTTCAGTTCTCACATGCAAAGTCTGGCTGTTCAGGTTTCAAGCTAAAAACCAGACATATTCAGGCCTGGATTTCCTTGTGTGGAAATCCAGCCTTTCATGGCTGGAAAGTGTACCAACACTCTGGCTTTGTCTCCTCGTGTGTGAACTCTGAATCTTTTCAGTGGAATTAACACATTGATTTAGTCTGTCTAAATAATCTTTCAGTCTGTCCACAGTATCTATAGTGAGCTAATCATTGGGCTATATTGATTTCTTTTTGGTTTCCTAGATTTGATGAACTTGTGTAAAAGAAGCATATGGCTTCTAAACAAAACTTCCTTTTCAGTGAGTTCTTTACTCCTGTTCTCTGCAGAGGCAGAAGTAGTAAGTTAAGTCTGGGTGGAGGATTGTACTACTTGCTTTATCACTGGCATTGCAAGATTTTCCAGACGAGTTTGAGCAGTCCCCAGTGCCCCACTGGGAACCCATCAAATCCTGCACATTGCAGGTGATGGCATCCTGCATCTGGAGCCTTTCTCAGGATTTCACAAAGAGTGTGGTAGAATCCTCCTCCACCAAGAAATGTGGAGTGCTAGTGGTCCCCCAGTTCTCTTTCTGTAGAGATATATGCCTATGTATGCATATGCTGTATGTATGTATTTTTTCATTAAACAGACTGCAAACAATTGCTAAAAGCAAAGCCGATTGCTTACAAGGACTACTTATGGAATCTTTTTTTCACATTGTAGAAAAAACTAGTCATTTACACACAGTCTCAGTTGGTAACATAAAGAAGCTGCTTTCTCCTGGTGTCCCATCTGTTCTGACACTCCTTTCCTCCTCCTCTCTTCAGATTGCATCCGATTTTCATCTGGCAGTTTCTAAAAAGTTTCAGTCTCCTTTTCAGTTCTTCAGATCAAAACCTGAATCTCAGGCACCACATTTGAGACAAATTTCTGTGCCCCTATCTCGGGGACATCAGGGCTGTGAATGTCACCTTTCCCCTGTTCTCCATCCAGTGCCTGCTGATGGAAAAAATGATAGTTGCAGGTTGTCTCTTCACTGGGTTATCCTGCAGATAACTCTTTGTAGGTACATGTTACCATAGCTGCCTCCCTGAGGAGGAAGGGTGGGTAGTGGAGTTGGGGTGTCAGATAGGGCCTTGGGAGCTCCCCGTTCTGTGCGGGCTTCCTCCAAGACCTTGGGCTAATGACTGAATATCTCTGTGTCTCAGATCCTCCTTAATACATGGATGTGTTGCTTCCCTGCTTTCAGGAGCATTGTGAACATAGGCGCTCAGGATGCTCTTCCACACTGATGTGCTGCTTGAGTAGTTAGGGTGCACTGGCTGGTTGAAGGATGCTATGGCTAGGCTGAAGCAGCTTCCATTTTAAAGTCTGAACAGATTGCTTCAGGTGACAGATTTTTAATGTGGCCTTCATTTCAGGAGACCCCCTAAAAATCTGCCTCTCTGATTTCATTTTAGACATTTCCTTGTAGGAACCTACGCAGGAACTGAAGGAACATGCTCCAATTTTACAACAGAGCTGTGGGTATCTGTGCTAATTTGTGTGGGATCCACAGCCATCCGTAGAACAGAGTTGCTCTCTTCTTTTACTGGGTGGCCGTATTCTCCCTGTAATTCATCTGTTCTCACTCTCCCACCCTCAGCTGTTACACAGACACACTTATGTATACGTACAGATATGACTATTTCTTCCCTGATGCAAAACTTAGTTTTGTACTCTGCAGGGAAAAAGACTACAATTCCACTACAACATTTTCCTTTTCAGCTGCTCTAGCAATGCACTTAAACTCTGTCTAATATTTGCCGATTAATCAATTGACATGTACTGTTTTCACTGCAGTGATATGTAAATAGTAAATATTTGTATTAGACAAAAGCTATACAGTAAATCATGCATATACATACTGTTTTAAAACGTTATTAGTTTTTAATTTGTGTGATGTTCGATATGTATTAAAGATCCCCTAAGAATAGAAACAGTAAAAAAAAGTAGCAATTTACTCATTTAATTATGGTAGAAATTAATATCTTACCTTCTATAAGAAGAAATAAAGGTTTAGCGTTCCAGGAGAAAAGCTGTAAAAGTTGCTTGACCATTTTAATGTGAAAATTAACTATAATCTTGTAGGCATTTGCAATTTTCCTTGTAATTCATTAATGCTGTGGTTTCCGGTATTCCAGTGCTCTCATGTATGGAAAAGATCTGCATCAAATGGTTGGGAGCCCATCCTGCTTGAAAAAAATCCTATTGATTAAAATATAATAAGACTTCCCATTCTGACGATTCTTCATTTGGGCAATTTTGCTAATGCAGCACAACATGTAATATCAGAATGCCTGTGTCACCTTTGCGTGATAAAAATAATTTGTTCCAATCCTTTTTCCTTTGTTTCCCTTCTGATTTGCCATGCACACGTTAAGTGCTTGCTACAGCAAAACCTTCTCGCTTTCCTACCTTAGACAATATATTTAATGAACTTTATCTGTATTGTACTGTTAAGGGCAAGAAACTAGCTCTAAATAGACTATGGCTTTTACGAAAATGAAAGCCCTGAAGAGTTGCTTCATCATGGGAAATCACTGCCAAATGTCATGTGAGCTCTTGCTTTCCTGGCACACACAATGTAGAAAAACATTTTCATTTTTAGCATCTTGACATTCAGCTTTTTTGACGTCTATTGCTTTACCACATTAAAATGCATTGTTATGAAT